TCCAGGAAAAAATTAAATAATGTAAAACATCTCTTGCACATGACCTCTGAAATGCTGTAGGACAGGTTTTATGTGTAGTCATAGAATTAAAGGAGGTTATCCAGTTTCCTAATCATACCAAATGAAGATGACATTGGAGATGGCTTTAGGCCAGTCATCCAGATCCTAAGCAAGATCCTAAAAATCGTTATGCTCTTTTACCTCCCCTTCCTGAGCCCCTTTTCAGTTTTGACATCTCTTCACCATTCCCTATAACCATAAAATGTATCTTATGATACCCTATCCTTTAGTGTTTCCAAAGGCCCTGTTTTTGTGTCTTATGAACCAGAATGATCCTTTACTTTTTCTTTAATCTTTTCTTCTGCTTCTGATCCCCAAGATGTTAGGATCTAGTGATTTTCCAAAGAAGGCCTTCACAGAAAGATGTAAAAAAACCTCTTTTGAGACTTGGATTTTAAAAAAGAAGTTTGTTAACTCAAGCAAATCTCTGCTTTGTTGAATTTGTGAGACTCCTTGCCAATTCCCTTCACCTTTCTTAGTAACTATAATCATGGTCCATCAGTTTGGAACTTCACTTCTGAAAGGTTGATATAAATTAGAATAATTCACATATAAATCTCAAAAAGAAGAAGGATTTATGTCAGTCATGGTGGTAATAACAATTACAACAACATTAATGGCAGCTATGCTTCTCAAGTACATTCTTTGTGCCAGGACCTCTGCTAAGCATTTTACATATATTATTAGCCTTTATGCCAGCCTATTAAATAAATATCATATTTGAAAAATGGAAATACAAGAAAGTGCTGAAATTCAGAAAAATAATTTGTAATTAATACAACAGTTTTAGATGGATAAAATGACCCCAAGACTGGATTTTTGAGTACTGAATTTGTGTCTCCTAGATTTATGTTGACTTTGAACTAGGTTACTCAGAATACTTCTTCATTTTTAAAACAGGGATTTCTAGCTCACATATTTACTGTGAGAATGTGTAATAATGTCTTATAAACTGCAGAGTGTAAGCTGGGGGTACTAATTAAATAACTTCAGGTAAGATTTCCTAAAATTTTCAAAAAGAAAAAAAACATAGAATGTATCAACACTATAAAAGCTGTTTCTTTGTACAGCCAACTTTTACTAGTAATTAGATGAAAAAGTCTCTTATGTGCCTTTGAAGGGGTCTGTGAATCCAAAGTTGTTTGTTTTTAATTGATATAGTAGAAGATGGTTGTAATTTGCTTGATCTTTCATATGCTTTTCATAGTAACATTTGGATGCCCTTTGGACTTTTAAAAAGTAATTTTGCTTTTGGTTATTTTCTTGAGGTAGGGTAATTCAGTTTATTGGGACTACTGTGTACTATTAGGCTTCTGACAGGTAGTGCACAGTACTGTATGTACCATTAAAGATCATCATTCTTTTCTAACAGACTCTACCTAATTTCATCAAGCTTGTTTAATAGTTTTTTTTCTTAAATATTCATCAAATAAGCTGCAAAATAGTAATAAATATTATGAATAATTTACTGTGTGCTAGGCACTGAACTGGGCATTTCACACACAGTATTTTTGTTTCTCTACTAATTAGTAAAATTAACTTCTTAAAGAAGACAATAAAAAGATTTTTTTATTGTATTACTCTTAAGAAACCTGATTTAGAACGTTTTGTTTTGCATATCGTGTTCTGGAAGGTATCATTAGTATTTCTCCAACAGAATACTTATCACTCTACCACAGTTGTCAGTTTTGCTATTTGTGAGATAAGAATATCCTAGGAATAGTGACTTTTTTTTCTATTTATACATTTTCAAGAGTTTGGTGTTCCTTTTTTCCTTAACTTCTCTTTTCATACTTCAAGTTCTTATTTCCATTTTTTTTCAAACATAATGCTTCTGATAATTTTAAAATAATTCTATTTTGTTTGAACCACTTTTTTATCTTGTGATTCAAGTTATAGTCTGTAGATTTAAAAAAATCTTATATTATTTGTTAGCTTTTTGTAATTTGTAAAATTACTTTTCTGTATCCTAGAGCTATTTCACTTTACCTTGTTCTGACCTTGAATTACACTTCTTTAATCAATATCCTATTTTTCATTGATTTTTTTCAGGAAGTTATGACCATTTTAAATGACCAGTATTTTTGTTCTTCTTCCTTTAATCAGTTTTCTGATTTAAAAAAAAAATTCTGTCAAGCTTTTATAGTTAAATTGTACAAAGAGCTCCCTGTAGGAGATATTGCTAGGCATCTTCCTGAATTGCCCTCCAATTGTTACTCTTAATATACTGTATAAATAAGAGAAGCCATCAGCATTTACTTTTAGTTCTTTTGCAGAGATGAATAAACATCTTGAAATGCTGATTTAGACAATGTTTTAAAAATGCTATGATGCACTTTGGTGTATGACTGACTGTTGCTTAGTTAAATGTTTTGCAGCATTATAACATAGTTGGATTCAGCTCATCTTTTAAAGCAGTTGTCAGAAAAATATGGGCCAGCATGGTCGAATGTATTAGCTCAATACATTGTCTCCATTTTATTATGAAGCTGCTGAGGAAGCTGTGATATACAGCACTGTCATTACAGATCTATTGTTAGGATGGTTCCACAGTCTTCTTTGCACCACCATTAATTTATAGCAGTAAACAATATGTAGCCTTCCAACTGCAGCAAAGCAGAATCTTTTAATGAGGTGGATGTTATTACCACAATAAATCAGTGCTTTCGCGTAATGTATAATTCAATGTGTGTATTCCCACTGTAACTTCTCTGAGTAAGCTGATAGTGTATCATTGTCATTGCACAGCTCCACTGGTCTTTTTTTTTTTTTTTTTTAAACCTTCTTTTATTTGGGGACTTCTTTTTTATATGCTTACAAATAAATGTGGTATGTCTTGATAGCTGTCCTGTAGCAAGCTTCAGAAACCAACTGTAACAATAACAGCCAGAATCAATACTGTGGGTTCTACCTATATGGATCTCTGCACGAAGCCATTTTTTTCTCAGATGCTACTGAAATCAATCCTAATTGGTTTTAGCATTATATTCAAGAAACGTGATTCTATAACTATTGATTTTGGAGGTATACTCATTTGGAGAGTAATAAAAATAGGAGCAGATAAAGTGAATACTTAATATGCTGCAGAACTATACAAAAGGAGCATTGATTCTATTTTTAATTCACATAATTTGTCTTCCAATGATGTTATTTCTTCGTTCTTTCCTTTTGTATGGCTCAGTGTTTAGGGACAACAACTAAAATATGTTTAAAGGCATTCCAAATTGATTCTGTAACAAAGATTTCTTGGAGTCACTTCTATTCTTAACTGGCATAAATTTAGTAAATCAGATTTAATTCTTCTGTACAGAAACTAATGCTTTAAAAAACAGCATTTTAAACTAGTATCCTGAGATTGATCTAAAATAGTAATCGATGAAAGATTTTTAAAAATTTGCTTGTAAAGTAAAAAAATGACAATATAAAATGTTGATTCAAACCAAACTATTGAAAGAGGACAGTGCTAAAGATAGTTTTTAAAAATAGTTAATAATTAATTTAAGAAAGATAGTGAAAATGATGAATTTAAAATGTTGCTGTAAATCACATATTAACATGAGAAGCAATTTAAAAACTAGTTTAACTTTGCTTCATCTTTAACAGAATATTTCTGAATACATCTATTTTAAAACCCATATTTTTTATTTATTTCAGTTTAGCATATCCCCCGTAAATAATAAGATATTTAAAATATTTTCTTTCTTTTATAAATGAAGTGACTAGGTGCTCATTTAAGAAAGTCATCTTAGCTTTTTCTCTTTTTTCAGTGAAATGGTAATTATATTTGAAATAAGGAATAGAGGTTTTCTAGAGATCAGAATGTTTTATGAGAATGAGTTATTACTTAAAGCAGGTGGTTTTTAACATTTTTGGAGACCTCAGACCCCTTTGAGAATCTTAATACTTTGTATGTCTTAAGAAAATGTACTTGTGCATAATCACAGAAAATTTTGTATTTTTTAATGAAATTCATGTATTCCCTAAATAACAACAGCTGTAGCAATAATAATGATACCAGCTAACATTTATTTAGCTCTTATCTTATGCCAAGTAATGTTCTAAGTGTTTTACAGGCTGTTATTTCATTCAAACTTTACCCCAATCCTGAAAGATAATCTTAAAAGTAGCATTCACTGAATGTCAGGCATGGTTTGTAGGACTTTACATGTAATTACTCATTTTATTTTCCAAAACAACCTTCAGACTGGGTAGTATTACTATTCCAGTGAGCCCACATTCTTCAGCACTTTGCTGTACGGCTTTTCGGCCCTCTACTATAATGAATCGTTTTCTGGTATAAACTCATAATCTGTCTTCTATTATTTATACACACACACACACACACACACACAGACATACACACATACACTTTATTTATTTCAGGCAGGGATGTTTTTATCCTCTTAATTTTGCTTTCACTCATACTAGTAGAAATTTCTAGATTGACATTTAATCCCTTTTTCACTCATTTTCTTCCTTGCACTCCTCATTCCCTTACATTTTTGTTTCATCCTCTTCTCAGAAGCTATTGTAAATTAATTCTCTAACATCAAGATTCTGTTTCTGGGTTTTGCTTCTAATTAACTAAATAGGATTTTATAGGTGCTTTCCAAACTATTATATAGCTAATATTCACTTCATGTAATTGTCTTTATGAAAATACTTGTTATGGTCTGACTAAAAACCTGTATTCAACAGAAACTGTATTCAACATTTCACTGAGAAATGACAGGTTTCTCCTTCCACTTACATGTGTATGTTTAACCTGCTTTGGAAAAAATTTTTCCATCCACTCTGAATGTAGCACCATGTTTTAGTTTCAGTAGAGTATATGTGTATATTTAAATTGACTTTCACTTGCTAATAGGATGACATTTGAAGAAAGAAATAAAAGATGATTACATTTATGTGTTCTTTTTCTTTTTCTTCCACATTGGCAGCCAATAGGAGCTTTGAATCCAAAAAGAGCAGCATTCTTTGCAGAGCGTTATGAATCATGGGAAGATGATCAAGTTCCAAAGTTCCACTATGGTACTCATTACTCAACTGCAAGTTTTGTTCTTGCATGGCTGCTAAGAATAGTAAGTTCAATTTGAATAATAAACCATGAATAACTAAATTCAGTGTTGTGGAAAATACGCAATGATTGAAAGTTGTTGGCATCTTTTTTGAATGCTAAGTTTTTTTCAGTGATTAGGTTTCTAATTATAAATATCTCTTTATCTCATTTGGTGTGTATTTGATAACATGTTGCTATAGAATAGCCTTAAAAATGTTTCACCTGGAATTATATGAATATTTTTCTTAAATTTGCCTCTTCAAATGGTTGATATCTCATCAGATCCTAAATTGTAACATATGTTATTTTCAAATGTAGTATATTAAAATAAGAACTAAATAAGATTTTGTTCAGATAGCATGTGTTCCTATATTTTAGGAACTTCAATTGCCCCAAATGGAATAAGTTATGTTTGTAGATTACACCAAGGCTACTGTGTATTGATAATATATTGGTTAAACAAGAAATGTTTCTGTAAAATTGAAAGGTGATTCATCTACTAGAAAGTAATTTCTTTGGGAAAGCATTAGCAGCACATCATTAATTAAAGCTTGTTAGAAGGGTACAGGCAGACATAAATCCTAGAAGTAATTTATAGTGCTTAGCTAATTTCAAGCAATTATCTACTAATATGTGTTTAAGTGTTCTTTAAATAAGAGGAGGCTTTTAAATCTTCCAAACATTTTTCTTTTCTTAATCATAAATTAAATATTGAGCCATAACAATAGGAAAATTACATATTAGACTATTTCCCTGTACTATGAAGAAAATGCAGTCTAATGTATGTTTGAATTTTATTAATAAATTGTTCTTGAAAAGGGAGTCTGAAAAATGTTGCAAATGCCAAATTTTGGAAGTATTTCTTTTGAAACAAAACTAGTTTAAGAACATTAGTATAATAATTTAGATATAATTCCCATTCTGTACCTAGTTTATATATAGCTGGCTAATGTCTATTAGTCATTAAAGTATCTAAATGTAATAATTTGTAAAAAAAACATGTTTATGCATGAGGAAACATACGGATTTTTTTAATTGCTTATTTTTTAGGAACCTTTCACAACTTATTTTCTAAATTTGCAAGGAGGGAAATTTGATCATGCAGATCGAACTTTTTCATCAATTTCCAGAGCTTGGCGAAACTGTCAGCGTGATACATCTGATATTAAGGTACAGACATGTTTCATTTTACAGTTACTATTCCCATTGTGTTCTTTGTTGAATGAATGTTGACAGTTTCTCTCTTGCAGCATAGAACTATTTACTGAAGAGAAGCCTCAAAGGCTGAGGCTTTAATTAAATGGCCAAGAACACTGTATAGCATCTCTCTGTCTGTCTCTGTCTCTCTGTTCTTTTTTGTCTGTCTCTACCTGTCATATGTCTCCCTGTCTCTTTCTCTTTAGTTGTAGAATGGTTGTTTTTTTCCTCCTTGGAATCTTTTTAAAGGAAAAATACAGTAGTATGAATGTAAGGTAGCATGCTCAATGGTATTACAAACTCAATAAATAAAATTAATAGTCAGAAAAATACTATGAGAAGACTCTCAGACTTTTAATTTATTTAATTTTATTTTACTTCATTTTATTTTACGGATCCCATGTCTCTTAATCTTTTACATGCTACTAATTCTAAATTCATACCTGACTCTGCTTGATATAAGGTTACATTATTATTGAGGGAAAAGAAAAGTTCTCCTATCTATGTGTATGTTCACTACTGTAAGAAATCAAAAACTTTGCACAATAGCTAACATAATCCTTACTAGATCTTTGTTTCTACCCTCAGAAATTATAGTATTTTATTTTCATGACATAGTGTCTCTTTCTCTAGATGCTGTTGAATATAATGAGATATGCCTATGGATGTGAAATTCCTTATAGTCTCATAAAGAAATATGACTTATATATAAATATTTATGTTTATATTTATATATAAGAAAATGATAGGCACCATATAAGAAATATTGGGGTTTAAAAGAGGAAAAGTTACATTGCTAATGTTTATGTTACTATAGGGTACCTTTAAAAAATTTAATAATGATAATTATATCTTTTAGGTGTGGTACTTTGAAGACTATAAAATGTATTCACATACTTTATCTTACAGTAGAGCATAATATTACTTATATCAAAGATATTTTATTGAAGAAGATTACATCATATGCAGAAATAATCTTTTATGTTGGGACATCTATAGGATTTTTTGATATTGCAAATAATGTACTCTGAAATACTCTTGAAATTATATATCATATTCTTTAAGAGTCATCAGTAGAGGGCTCCTGGCTGGCTCAGTCGGTAGAACATGTGGCTCTTGATCTGAGGGCTGTGAGTTCAAGCCCCTCTTTGGGCCTAGAGCTTACTTTAAAAAAAAAAAAAATCAGTAGATGATTTTGAAATGGGTAACTAGATAACAGTAAATCAGAATAGGTAATAGATTTAATAATTATTTTTTAATTCTTCCAATCTCAAAGCTATTGAATTACTTATTTAACTCTTTTGAGAAGTAATGAGGGATATGGACATAGGAAAACAGTGATAAGCCTAACTTTTTTGTTATCAAATTGAAGACATGATTTTTTTAAAAATTTGTTAATTCTTTCATTTGTTAAGCATCTCATGACCAAGTTATAACCTTATACTTAAGTTTGGTACTTGAAATTTAAACAAAAATAAAATTATGAATTTGAAAATTATTTTTTCCTGCTCCATAATAAATGGATAGTATATATCTTCAACTTTCTACCTTTAAGTACTAGACATTCCTTCTTAATGCTTTGTTAGACAAAAGGTGCATATGATAGATCTGTGTAGTTCTGTCATCTCTTTTTCCTAAATCTCAAGCCTTTTTCTGTCAAGAGTCTTCAGTTAGCACAAGTCTAGTTCCATTTTCCCAAACACTTACCTTAAAATACCCTACCTGTAAAAAAAATTAAAAACCCACACAAAACAGCTGCAACATTAAAAACTAAAAAACAAAAAAATAAAACCCATATGAACTTCTTTAGCTTTCTTCCTAATTTTTCTTATTCCTTCACAAATAATAAACACTTAAATTCATCTCACTTTCTTTTGAATGCCCCAGCAGGCTTTAATAAAAAAGCTCCAACTACTAGACAAATAATAGAATTTCAATTCTTGCTATTGTGCTACTTAATTTCTGGCTTTCTAGCTGTGTTATATAAAGCATCTATATGAAGAAGTAGAGTACAGAGTTAAGGAAAAAGTTAAAATTTTTTAAAAAATTTCAAGTGTCAAGTTGATTTGGCCTGAATAAAAATATAGTTTCATTGATAAATATTATTAAATTATGTTGAGAGGCAGAGAAATTTTCTTCAGGACTATTTGCTAAAGCCTACGTGCTCTTATAACCAATATGTATAGTCTCCTTTTTTTTTTTAACTGTAAAATACCTGTAGGGTAGATAGGACATTGAAAAATTACATTCTCTACATTGATAACTAATTTGGTCCCTACAACTTTTCAAGTACTTTGAAAAAGTATGTAATACATGGTTACAGAGGCTAAAGAGCTTCCTTATACATGGCTAGATGGTCCTTTTAAAACTGAGGAGGGGGCACCTGGGTGGCTCAGTCGTTAAACGTCTGCCTTCGGCTCAGGTCATGATCCCAGGGTCCTGGGATCGAGTCCCACATCAGGCTCCCTGCTCCACAGGAAGCCTGCTTCTCCCTCTCCTACTCCCCCTGCTTATGTTCCTGCTCTTGCTATGTCTCTCTCTGTCAAATAAATAAATAAAATCTTTAAAAAAAAACAACTGAGGAGGTATTTAATCTTGCTTCTTTTCTTGTATCCTGCCCTTTTAAAAGTGTTACATTTTAACACTTTAGAAAGCACATTTAAGTTATTATGATAATATAATGTATAAGAATAAATGTATAAGAAAGCACATTTAAGTCATTATAGTAGTATAAATATTTCATTGAGATATTACATTGCATTTCAGATGGAATCATTAATTATAGTGTGATCTTTATTTGTATTGTCTTGTTGAGGTTTCTGGAAATAATAAGAAAAATGTTAAACAGTACACAGAGGATAGTGAAATATGGGTGGTGAGAATCACGTTACTGAGTATACTCAATATACATTGAGTATATATTCTAAAGTATACCTTGCTTGATGAATATGGTATACATTTTCTAAAATGTTTTCATGACATTTTACAAAAATGAAATGTTGTGGGGCGCCTGGCTGGCTCAGTCAGTAGAGCATGCAACTCTTGATCTTGGGGTTGTAAGTTTGAGTCCCACATTGGGTATAGAGATCACTTGAAAAAATCTTTAGGGGCACCTGGGTGGCTCGGTCGGCTAAGCGTCTGCCTTCAACTCAGGTCATAACCCCAGGGTCCTGGGATCAAACCCTCCATGGAGTCCCTTATCAGCAGGGAACCTGCTTCTCCCTCTCCCTCTGCCGCTTTCCCTGCTTATGCTCTTTCTCTGTCAAATAAATAAATAAAATCTTTAAAAAAAAAACAAAAATGAAGTGTTGTGAGGTAAATAGAAGATTTTTTTTCAGGGAAAAATAATAATGTGATAACATTTCTAGTATTTAACTGTTTTTGTGCTGAAGGGGAACTGTTACTTTAGTATCTTAGAAACCCTATTTCTTGCATTCTGCTAATACTTAGAGGATAACTTACTAAAAAAAGGTTATCCTAGTGAATTATTTTTTTTCAGGGAAGAAAAAACTATTAAATTTTACTGAAGTAGTCTTTGAATTTTAGCATGACTTACCATTTTAGAGTTCTGGGGATCATTTGTATTTTCGGGTATCATTGGTGGTTTCATTTCAGATATGACCCTAGATGATGCTTTTCATTCTGCCTGGATAAACTGTTAGAAGTGTTGATCAGCTCTTTAAGTAGGCTTACTACTGTTCTGGATGTATGGGTGGAGCAGTTAGTTGAGCATCTGACTCTTGGTTTCAGGTCAGGTTCTAATCTCATGGTTGTGAAATAGAGCCCCACTTCGGGCTCCATGCTCAGCCCAGAGTTTGCTTGAGTTTCTCTCTCTCTCTCCCTTTGTCCCTCCCCCCACGCTCTTTCTTGTTCTCTCTCTCTTTAAAATAAGTAAATATTTTTTTAAAGTAGGATTATTACTGTTCAATAGAAATATAATGCAAGCCACAATTGCCAACCACATGTGTAATTTTAAATTTTCTTATAGTCACGTTTTAAAAAGTGAAAAGAACCATGTGAAATTAATTTTAGTATCAAAATATTGTTATTTCAACATGTAACCAATATAAAATTATTAATTAGATATATTCTTCTTTCATACTGTCTTTGAGATCTGGTATGTATTTTATATTTATAATAACATGTATATTTAGACTAGCCACATTTCAAGTGTTGAATAGCCACTTGTAGCTAATGGCTACTGTATCAAGCCCTGTATGCTTAGGACAATGTTCCTGATGTTGTACTTCATCTAAATATTGATAGGTAGTGGCAATAATAGGTATTCTTGAGGACTGAAATAGGATATGCTAAAATTGGGTTGGAGAATCATCATCGTGATAAATAATATTTTAAAATCCCCAGCAGGTTCTGTGTTTCAAGTCTTAAAAACCCACTTAAGGGATGCCTGGGCATCCATCTCTTGATTTTGGCTCAGGTCATGATCTCAGGATTGTGAGATCAAGCCCAGGGTCAGGCTCTGCTTTGGGCATAGAGCCTGCTTAAGCGTCTCTCTCCCTTTCCTTCTGCTCTGCGATATGTACCCCCCCACCATAGCTCATGTGCATCCTCTCTCTCTAAAAAACAAACAAAAAAACTCACTTAAGTTTAGAAACTGAAGTGCAAAATAGATTACTGAACTATTATGACCAAATTCTGTGAAGCAAATTATGGACTCATAAAAATTGAATGAATTTCACTAGGTAATCACATCTAAATATTACATAAATATCTAAACTTTTCTATCAGTTCATGTCACTGATTATTCCCCTGGCTCTGAGGCAACATACTCATTTCAGGGACCTTAGTGTCAGTACATTTAATGATTAAGTACAATCGGACTTGCTCAATTTAAACTCTTTTCCTTCTCTCCTATAGAAATTATTAATAATTAAGATTGAAGAGGGGCACCTGGGTGGCTCAGTCGTTAAGCGTCTGCCGTCGGCTCAGGTCATGATCCCAGGGTCCTGGGA